TGTTTTAGCACTAAGGAGGAAAGCTTTGACCTGATTGTAAAGCTCTGAGAACCGATAATAAAAAAATAACCAGAAATAATATAGTATAGGGAGACAGGTAACGGTAAAACGGCGATAAAAGTAATTGTACGATAGTAATGCCTTATTGCGTTACAGGGGGAAGAAGTTTTTAAAAACGGAATGAATTAGCGAATCCTGAATATCCTCTACATACGGACGTTAGTACAGTCGCTGTAACCCACTTTTCTGAGGCGTTCTCTATACTGGGTCGGCTTAGCTGAAATTTTTCATTTGTTTTTTTTCAGGGAAAGCAAGTAGACGACAACGGCTCGGGTTGCTGACAAATGGTCTTAATGTCGCACGCTTTAAAGGAAAATTGTAATTGTTGATCCTTTATCGATGCAATTTATATAGATATATATATGATCAACCTGAACCGAAATATATAACCTTTGAACTGATAAGCGAACTCGGAACGTGTTTGTTGCATTAACCCTGATCATTAAACATGTTAGGTTAGAAACGAGGAGTGCAATGTAGTAACACGAAGGCAGTGACCGGCGCCAGAACTATTTCTATGTGACTATTTAACGTATGTAAATATGTAACCATTTCACATTTGTTCGTAATCTTGGCTTTCACTAGAGCTATGAACTCATTTGTTAAAGTAATGGAAATAGCTCGGATCGGGGTAAAACGTTTATCTTTGGTCCAATAGGTTTAGCTCGACCGTTTCAATAGATAGAAATTGCAGGTCTCTAACGAAAAAGATACTTACAATGAAAACATTTCGGGGAAAAAGGCTCTCTATACTTTGAACTTCTCATTCGCGAAACGTTACTTCAGTAGAATGTAAGTAAAAGAACAACGAAAAAACGAGAACAACATTCAAGTGGCATCAGCGAAGATATTAGGGAAAGCTGCTCGTTGATGAAAGAATGTCGATCGCCATGGGCGGCAGACTCTCTTTACCAGTTCAAATGGAAAAATCCACTATTAATTTTAAAGCAAATCCGAATCCACTCGTGGATTCCACGCTTGATTGCCACTACCTTTTTTTGTTACATTTAGACTTTTACATCCTACATTGCCATTAGACATTCCGTCAGATGGCTAGCTCCCTATGCTTTGTGGGTTCAAGCCTAGAGCACAATGTGCCCCTGAGATTAGCAGCCAAATACGTTATCTACTAATTAGGCTATCACGGAGACACGGGCCTTCACCTTTCCTGACCCAACTATTTCTGCCCTGAACAGATCCGGTTACGATTATGTATTACTTGTGATATAGCACTTCAAATAAGACTCATCTATGCATGAATCTCTATAAAACAACTTATATTATGAGGGCAATTGAGTATAATGAGGATGGACATGTGTCTTTTGCTAAAATAGCAGCTATTTGGTACTTTTTTAATCAGTTTCATCAGGCGTGTGATATAATTCTAAAATTCGATTTGTAAGGGTGAAAATATTTTGAGTTTGTTAGAATTTACGGTAAATTTAAATCGAAACAAATATAGATCCATGCCAGGATTTTGGCTTGTCTATATTGGCATTTAAAAAAAATACTTTGTTCTGTAAATAAATTGTAAATAAATTTTTGAATCATACCATCGTCATCGGGTATCATGTTCCGATGTTTTTCGGCTTTTACGATTTTTTACGACGGTTTTTACATCCAGAAGCATGAAACCCTATAGAAATACAATATTAAAATCGAGGATTGCCTTTTCCCACATGTTCATTGACGTCCTAGTGTCAAAGCTACTTGGTCAACATATTGCGTCCTTTGCTAGTCAAAATTAACCGTCATTACCCACGGTTGCCAGCTATTCAGGTGTTCCTAACAACCTTTATAGCGATAGTGCGACCGCAATTCTTGTAAATTGCCTGAAGAGCAACTTTTGACCCTTGAACTTCACGCACCCCAGCCACGTTGGGCGTTAGTCTCGGAACTCAGCGCGCGTCCGCGTCATTCTAACGTATGGTAGTTGCTGCATTTGGCATTTATGCGCGGTTTTTTCACCTCTTAGCCCAGCTCTGTGCAGTTTTGTGTGTGTATGGACATCAGTTAAATGGTGTATGTATGTGATGTGCTTCGTAGAAATAAGTCGGATTCTATTTTCCAGTGGTTGCTTTGCCCTGAAACCAGTAAAATACACATGAGCATATAGACAAAACATAGACAAGGATGCCTAGTCATTGTTTCAGTTGCGCTATGGTATCTACCCTTCAACCCTTTATGCTGCCTCGAAGCATTTTAACATGCTTTTGAATTTATGCACGGAAATCATTGACTTACTGATGACAGCAGGCATCACGTGAACTCCTTTCTAAACTAACCAACGACTTTGGTCAGATCTGCCACCTACTTATCCGTCGCTACCGCGATGGACACTCGCCGGCCAAGCATTGGCGATGGCTGGTGATGCGAACCGTTATGGTGTCCAAACAGAGCAAGCAGTTAGATATTACTATGAGAACAACAGCTACGAACCTGGCGTAGATCGGAAAAAAAACGGATAAGCTAACGGCGAGACTGGCGGACAAACAAGTGGAGCCAATGAACAATCAACGTGTTACTAAAGTTCACATTCTCGCTGTCAAATCACAGCCTGCTGGTAGTCTAGCGGGCTTTATCGCTGCGTTCTAAACCGTCCCGACCTGCTTGCCGGCTAACTGAGTTCGTCGCTAGTCGACGCTTTTATGTGACGAATATTAAGGCTCTAGAGGGTGTCGTAAAGACGCGCAACTGCCACGTACTGGGGTTACTATCGAGGACACTACCGCCGTGATGCACGTTGCGAGATTTGTTTTCGTTCTACCATTGGTCATCCATTCGCTGTTCGCCGTCAGCCTAAGGTTGTTTTGTGTGCCGCTTGAAGTAGCATATGAAAATCAAGACGTTTATGGGTGGCCAACATTTTGTTGCAGCGGTGACCGTACGAAGTCGATGTGCACGAACGTGCGTACGTTAACCGGTCATATTCTTAGTGATACTTTATTCTCTCTTCATTTTGGTTATACGCACCAGTACAAGTCGGGTCACCGCGTGGGAAGTCCAAGCGAATACTTTCAATGCTTTTGTTTGCGAGTTGAATCATAGCAACCTTGACAAATTGCGTTTTTTTTTTTTTTTTTTTGATATATTTGTCCATGTCATGTTGCGATATAATATTTTATCTTGTAGGGTATCAGTGTCAGTGAATAACTGCTTTTATTCGAATTGGATGTGTAGTGTATGCCATCGATAGGAATTGGGCAGCGAGTCTAGGGTGCCTTTGACTTAGAGGTTTGGCCGTCCTGGCCATCGCGGCGAACGCTTAACCGCATAAACGTTCCCATGTATAACACATTGTGCCTTTTATTAGCCGACGTCTTTTATTCTGTGGCCACTGTTAAATTTGCACACAATTAAAGCAACTAGAATACTGTTTTCTCACTATTTTACGAGAGTGTGTAGTTCGCCTGTTTTGGGCTAAAAAAAATTTGTTATCTATTTAAGTCCAATGCAATTTTTACATGTATCAATTCGATAGGATTTTTGCTTTACATCCAGCTAAAACTTCCAGGGTAAATTGAGCAAGGTAATTAAGTGCTTAAATGTTTGGAATCAAATCGACTTTTAGGTCATCATTTCAGTCACTTGAAGCACATGGCTGTGGGAAAAAACGCCTCGTCATGCGCTATTTGGCGAACTTTCTCAAAAAAAAACTAGATGTACATAGCTAAAATAGAAAATCGTATCGTCATCATCATGCGTATTATCATCATCATCATCAACAACAACAACAACAATGTTGCTACAGTGGGCTTCGTATACATTTATGTAAAGTAATTCAAGATAAAACAACTAGTCGATAACATTACTAGACACGACGTTCTGCACAAATTTCCGTTTGCGATCGTAATAATGCTATGGACCTCTTCCCACTGGATGCACTAACAAGCCAATACTCTAGAACGCCTAAAGAGACCTTTACGGCAGGTCAGTTTCGATAACTGTAAAAGGCTTTCCTTTTCTTGGAAGTGGTCCGTGGTTGCCCCTTGAAGCCATCTTCTGTTGCGGCCAGCCTTTCTGCTTGTCACAAAGAAAACAATTATATATGTACGTAGTTATCAAACGGGTGCCAATCTACATTGAAGTTTTGGTGGTTTGACTTGAGTCGAGTGATACATCTAGCAATCACGTAGTCATGGGGGTACGTTGGCACTTGCCAGCGGCCTAACGACAGCCACTTGGCGGTAGCGAACCGCCATTGACCAGAAGTCCAATCTATGGCTTTGGGCTTAATGACGGGCATCGAATCACATCAGTCGAATGAATCAATGATGAAAGGGCCGCACAGAAGCAACCAGACGACGTGATCAGAGAAGCATGCACTGAGTAGACACGACGACAAACAATAAACGAATTTGCGGGTTCTGTGGATGTATTTACGATTCGATAATGCCTCAAATGATGGGCAGACTCGATGACCCTATCGAAAGTCGGACACAAAGATATTAGCTGGACGTTGTATGCTGAGGTTTTGAATGCGCGAAATTCTGGGGTAAGGCTCAGTGGATGACAATCTATGATATCCGTACTAGGCGATACAGACGCGCTTTGAAAATAAGGCATACTAACTAGATAATAACTAGATACTTCTATCACATACTGAGCTTACAGATATCTGACGCTATCTTCTATTGAAACGAATAGTGCGCAAAGGTTCTAAGGAATGATTCGGGCATTTATATTTCCAAGCATAGTTAGCACGTTTTACAAGAGATAATTTTTCCTACTCGAAGCATATGATATTTTTCAAGTACGAGATATGAAAAGCCGCCTTGTACTGCTAATATTGTGCAAGCTTTTAGGTTCAACATGGGCAGCTTAGAAAGGTACATAGATGAATGAGTCTTGCCTAGCCTGCCCAAGATCTTTCATTGTGTAAATAATGCTAGAAACTATTATCGCGTGCTACTAAAAAATGTCTTATGACTCCTTTTTAGGCGTGGTCCATGAGCATCCTGGCCGGACGATGGGCTCAGATGGTGAAAGCGAAGAAGCATCAGGAACATCTGATGATGTTGGTCATCATCACCACCATCATCATGGGGGACACCATCAGGGAGGTCATCGGACAGGAGCTGGAGGTCACCTTAACAAGAACTCGTCGAGTAATCTCAGCAGCGGCAACAGCGCCACAAGCAATGGGGGTGGAGCGACACAACAAGGACCAGTTCAGGTTTGTCGTCTCGGAGAAAACGATGGGTCGCCGACCCCATTTTGTTTATCATTCTCTTAGAGCCGTTTTGTGGTGACTGCTTACTGAAGTTGTTTTATTGACTGTTGTGGCAATGAGAATAAAATGTTTATGTTTACGCAGAGTAAGTTTATCAATATGTACATCGCAGGTAATTATTCGCTTCATTCGGGAGGCTGTTAGGTATTATTGCTGGGTGACTATAAAAATGAAAGCACCAAAAAGGATGAGGCCAAACATTTTACCTAATTTGCGATCACTCCTATCGCTGTTTTTCTATTGGCTGTTTGCAGGGATATACTTCACACGTTGTATGTCGTAAAACGAAACATAAAATTATGTTATATTATTGTGGACGTGGATCTGTGTATAGTTGCGTATTATATATATATATATATATATATATATATATATATATATATATATATATATATATATATATAGTGATATGTGCGCAATTGATTGGCTTAACAAATTTTCCCATCCAATACGTAATATTCTAGACTAGCCAGTACTTAATCAATTTTGTCAGATAACTATCATAACATATTATCAGACCTTATCTGTTAACAAGTATATCATTTGCTATGTTTATGAAATCCTTTCTCGCGTTGAATGAATGTTACATCTAAGGCAACTCGTTTTGGAGATTCGAAATAACGCTTTAACTACAATAATTTTATAGAATGATTTATCTGGCCAACATTAACAAAGGAAATAAACACAGATTGGTTCGTGTATAACTTGCATGAGTTATTTTGTATATATAAAAGTTATCCGGCGTCGTTGTTCGGTTGCTGCCGGTGAACTTGTTCACGTCTAACACTAGCCACCTTTAGATAAACATCTAGAATAAGCCTGTCTGATCGAATTTACCTAAAGAGCGTAATATATTTTGCTAGTATAACGTTACAAAATAGGTACAAGATAAATTAATCCGTCTCCTAACCGCCATCTTACTATATATATATATATAAAGTTCGATATTGTCATTCAGCCAAGGTATTATTGAAGCTAATCATCAAGTGTATGCAAAAGCATTAAAGTACTTAATTTTTTTTACGTTTATTGTGAGATGACACACAGTCCCTGATGCACTATTCTAGCGTTTAATCCACGTAGCGTTCATCAGCTATTTTTTATATTCGCCGAGTACTAAAACGCTTACGTCTCCTCAGTACCACGTACAAACGCGTTCAACTCCCTATCTGTATATTGTTTCCAAGTTACTTTAGTTACCGGAAGATACTATTATGCGTTCTAACTATTTTGTCTTTTGCCGCTTTATTATTTTATGTTAGGTACGGTTACGTCCAAAGACAATGGGAATGTCGCGTTTGTCAAAGGAAGACATTTCGAAACGTCTCTCACTGCCAGCCGATCTTCACTTACCGGAGAACCTGTTGGCCAAAAATAGTCCCGTATCAGCCATTCTTGAGGGACAGCCACTAACCCGCAACATCCGACGGCAGAGTCTCGTAAGTGCCGACACAGCACAGTAATCTTCAAGATGAAGCTTTTTTCTATTGTTTTTTTTATAGTTAGTCCAGAGCGAAGTCGCTGTTTAGCTAAGCTGCGTACACATATTACCCGCTTACCCAATACCGCCATTCTCTTGATCTATTTTCAGGCTGAAATTGGGTTCGGTCGAAGCGAGACATACACGAAACTCGACAAGTTGGGGGAAGGAACTTACGCAACTGTGTACAAGGGCCGCTCGAAGCTCACCAACAATCTCGTCGCTCTAAAGGAGATTAGGTAGGTTACATTGACATTGATCCTATTTACCAAGAGAAAACCTAGCTTGATTCTGCTACTTTCTATAATTATTTTGGAGATGAATGGAGATTCTTTTTGATGAAGTGCTCACATTTTTCCCAGGCTCCATGAGAAGTTGCAGAGACTTGATATCCAATTAAAACTATACTCCACCCTTAGCAATGGGAGAATATAATTCTCGAGCAGAAAAAAAATATTGATCGGACGTTTCAACAAACCTAGTTGGGTCAGCAGCTGTTGAATAGTACGTTCAACATCTACACATCCGAATGTCGGAAACGTGCATGTAGAACGATTATTAGCTATTGACGTACATCATACGAGTGGCATTTTATTCTACCGGTAGCTGTAACTCGCGTATTTTGCACGAATTCACCTACTTTTTCGTGTAAGTTTCCCAATTACACTTTGTCCTTAACCAGGTCAAAACTAAGTGAGCTGAATTATGGTTAGGGGTCGAGAATGATGATGTATCACTTGTGTGATTTCTGCCAGCCCCCCCAGTTAAATGTTCGAAAGCGACCCGCCAAAGAGATAGTGCCATAATGGACAGTTACAGATAGATAGGGTAGGTGTCTTGTCTTTTTGTCAGTGCCAAAGCTCCTGAAGGCAAATCAGGGGGAAATGCGGAACAAGTTGGAAGAGTGCACAAAGTAGGCTCGGTCTGATTAAAAAAAACACAGTAGTTAAAACAAAAAACTTCAATTTTTATTAGAAAAATTGTGCGCATTGAAGTAGTTGATAAGGCTCTAAGATTGGTTACCGATATCCAGATGTGGAAGACGTTTGAATTTGACTTGTTCTTTTTATATTCAACTTTTGATAGACGCCTTTTTAAACGCATTTTCAGTACAGTCGTATTTCTTTCTAGTAGACGTCTATAGAAAAGTATATAATAACCTACTGCATGAATATTTCGTACCACGTTACAGGTTGGAACACGATGAAGGCGCTCCATGCACGGCTATACGAGAGGTTTCTTTGCTAAAAGAACTCAAACACAACAATATTGTGACCTTACACGATATCGTCCATACAGACAAGAGCCTTACACTCGTCTTCGAGTTCCTCGACAGAGATCTCAAGCAGTACATGGAAGACCACGCCAATTTCATGACCATCAACAACATTAAGGTATGAAACCCCTAACGGGAAAATATAGCTCATTTCTGATTATATAACTATCGCTACGGATTATCTTTGAGACGTGAACATTCGTGATGGCACGTACGCGAGTCGAGGTTGTAAGTCAAATTCATTCCCTATAGTTAGAACGATCTCGTTCTATTTAAGATTTGTTCTGAACATTGTGCATACGCTTCTGTAATATAGAGACACGGAGTTCTTTTCTGGGGCATGATTATTTTTTGCGTTGCAGATATTCTTGTACCAACTGCTTCGTGGGCTGGCATATTGTCATAAGCGGCAAATTTTACATCGAGATTTGAAACCCCAAAACCTGTTAATAAACGATAAGGGTGAGCTTAAACTAGCAGATTTCGGTCTTGCTAGAGCGAAGTCGGTGCCGATCAAGACATTCAGTAACGAGGTAGTCACCCTATGGTATCGGTAAGTTTTGCACGGAACTGAAAAAAGGGTAAGCGCATTGATCATTAGGGTTAAATGCACATGCAGCTATACGAAAATAATCGTAGAAATTTTTTTCATTTTTCAAAGAGATTAACGAATATCGAAATGAATGCATTTTTCTATTGACCCGGCATGAGGATCCTTTATAGGGCCACTCGATATAGCTATGAACATCCGCTATTTCTGTTATGCTAATGCTGTCCTGTTTTAGACCACCGGACGTATTACTGGGGGAAACCAACTACAACACTTCAATAGATATGTGGGGTGTGGGGTGTATTCTATTCGAAATGGCTGCCGGAAGGCCGCTGTTTCCTGGAAGCGACGTCCGTGACCAGCTCGAAAATATTTTCAAGGTTTGTTACGTATACCATTTAAACGTCTATACGCTTACGATTTTTGAGTGTTCAAATCCAAAAGATTCATACTCATTTCGAATATTTGTAGCCCTATGGCACGATATTAATACTAATACTTACGTACTAATATTAATACTTAGCGACTACACCATGTACTGTGTCGGGTAGTCACGTGACACGCTTTGAGTGAAGAGTGAATATTTATAAAAATAATGTTTTATTTTTTCATATAAAAATATGAACGTTGAGCTCAGTTTAATTTATCATCTGGTATCGCTGCTGTAACTAGACGGTTCGTGGTCTGCATTTGATAGGTCCTGGGCACACCTACAGAGGAGGTTTGGCCTGGTATCTCGCAGAATCAGGAGTTCACAAATCAGCGGTTTCCGTCCTACCTGGGAGAGCCTTTGCAGGCCCGAGTTCCACGCCTTGGGCAGGACGGGACCGATCTGCTTGGTCAACTGCTAAAGGTTAGTAATCGGCCGATTTTCCGCACCTAGTTGGACCTAAATCTGAATCAATTGCTAATAAAAATTCGCGCGGGTATGGTCAACCTTAAGAAATGAATGCGAAGAGGCATATCGACGTACTGGGAACCCAATCTTCTGCGGTTGTCTCACAGTATAGTTTTTCAGTACAACCGTTCTAGTATAGCATATAATTTATGCTATACTAGATGCGAACTAGCTATATATATGCTACGAAATGCGCAAAAAATAATAACAAATCATGCCAAATCATGCTACGAATAACGTTTTAAAATTCCAGTATGAGCCGCGCGGTCGGATATCTGCAGCGGATGGTATGAAGCACCCGTATTTCGATTCGTTTGGACCGAACATTCATAAACTGCCGGACACCGCGTCCATTTTCAAGCTGCCAGGAATCACGCTGACCCGCACCACCAGCCATTGGAAATCTAACAACAGTTCATCCACCGTAAGCCAGGCTAGCGGAGTTCAAATCAGCGGCAGCAACAGGCACGACCAGAGTACTGATGTCAAATCTATACATAATAGATATTACCAGCCGTTGCAACTCTGAGATCTGCAACAATCACAAGAACAAAGACACTGATCTAAGACTATTAGTAGTGCTAGTTGTAGGAATGACGATAGAAACGATACCAATCCTTGCGGAGCCATACCAATAAAAAGTGACGATTTCTTAGTAGTAAATATAGATTAGAATACTAACTACTTGAGCCCACGCATAGAGGATCAATTGTAATCGACTGAAATTCAAGTCAAACGAGGATCGATGCGTATTGCGGGGGCGAACATTGTGAAGATCGAAGATTTCTAGCCAGCTAAGTGTATTACCTTAGTGTGAAAAACCTACATATCGTTTATAAGCGAACTCGGAAAATTTTAGCCCCTCCACTTGAATGCTATAGATTGTCAGTGACACAGTCTAATATCTAGCTAAAGCGTTTTTAGGCCGAAAACTATCAGTAATTCTATTCTAGCCTTTGACTTGAATCACCTTTAGGCAGGTGAAGTTGTGCGCGACCATTGTCCACTCGGTTGGTGTCATGGATCTTAGTCACACAGAAGTCCGAAGACAAAAACAGATGTTCGAGTATAGTTATCGATTGATAGGAAGCGTGAGGAACGATGTCCATACGGATAGAAGCTGCCAATGGAAAGAAACAAGGGAACCGACACTTAGCTTTCGCGTAAATGAAAAGAGAACAACAACTCTACGATGAGATATTGATTATACAGTTAGAAATAGGAAACAGGAGGCCATAGGAGTGGTTGAGTAATAAGCTTGTACAAAGGGCTCAGCTGCCCATCTGTACATATATTTATATACACACACACACACACAGACACACACACACACACACAGACACACACACACACACACACACACACACACACACACACACACACACACACACACACACACACACACACACACACACACAGACACACACACACATACCTGTACGCATTAATGGACAGTTACCTATTAGAGGTTAAGAGATGAGCAAGCGGAGTACAGCGACGCCTAAATCCAACAAGCGCAATAGACATTATTTAGCGAATGGAAGCAGGCCGAGGGCAGCGTTTAACAAGCACGCCATCTAAAATAACCGGATCGGTGCAGAATTGACTTGTCCAAACACTATTACTATTAATACTGAAAGTGAGGTTCAAGCTCGATCATCTAACCATCATATAATTAGACTGTAAGTAATGAATTTCAACAGTTTTACTACTATTATTATGAAGATCCTATATGTATACTATTTACAGTGAGCGAAGATAGCAGGAGAACGAAACAAGAGCTTACACAACGGGAGGCATCAGTCTTCGGGTCAGTGTCGATGCCGCTAACCCTAACGAGACTTTCGAAGAGTCTACGTTACTTCGAATGAGAAACATTTATACTGAAGCCCACCAGCCAAACATATCGAACCTGTACCATAATTGCGACCGCTGTATTGCTTGACTGTTTGTAATATGATAAGACAATGAAAAATGACAGTAACGAATGTAAAAAGAATTAACGAAGAGAGTCTTCATAACTGAAAACAACTACGATAGTAATTACCTTTATATACATATGAAATACCACGAAAAGTTTTCCGTCAATCAACAGGCATCAATGATAGAATTGTCACGTTCATCAACGGCTCACTATTTATTTAATGATCATATTGATACTACGTATTAGATTGTTCATTTATTGATAGAGTGAGGTATTTTCAACACGTTTTCATCCTGGATGATGAATAGCCAGAATATTATAGATAAGCAGCTTCCTGCAGAATCTGCTTCTGGTGAAGTACTGGCGCGAGGTCGGAACGGGGACCTGCGGAAAAAAAACGGAACTTTTATAACTATAAGCGTCGCTGCAAGGGCAGCAACTATTAAACGACGGAATCTGCTAAATAACTTGTACATATTGGGCAAGCAATATCCTTCATCATCGATTGCATTATTCAACTGAAGGCTTCGAATGAGTCGGGAATCGTCCAAGAGCTAGAGAGTGATATTATATTAATTAGAAGGACAGCGAATCAATAATGCAGACATCAATCCGCTATATACAGATAAACAATACGTATATAGATAATAAATCCTAATAAAAAGAAAGCATTGGTAAGAATCCTGTGGACTTAGCGGGCTGATTAAATCGCCTCTAATTAGCGAATGCTGATGATAATGATGGCTTTCATCATAATCATTATTACTATCACTCATTACTGAATGATCGAAGGTAGAGTGCGCGTAAAGAAAGGAGCACACTACAACAGATAGATGCCGTCCGATTGAACTGAGGTTGAAATCGATACTTGCCATCCGTGGGCGTCCATAGCTAGTAGCGAAAGTACGGCGGAAAAGGTGATATTATCGAGCAGACGATAGCGATACTGCTCTACAAGGGTGTAGCGTTTGCATGCTACTAGGTTAGATCTAGCACAAACGTGGCAAGCCACTAGGGATCGGGTTGATCGTTAGGCAACAGCGTCAGGATAACAGAAAAAACAATACAATTCGATTGAACGGATAGCAGTATTGCGGGAGATTCTTACCATTCGGACTATTCTTTGGGAGGACATCATGTACGAGTGTTGTGGCGGCTCGCGCTGGCGTGCCAACGAAGCGCTTAATAGCATTGGGTACTTCTGAGATACGGGGGTGTATATTCGGGCTAGAGCATGCAGGTAGGCCAAGGGAACTCTTTCCACACTCTGTCCATGGAAGTAGACAACGTAAAGCACAGACTCATTTTCTATGCCATTATCTTAAAAAAGGTCGACTGGTATATGAAAAGGAGAAAGAGACGTCTACAGAAAGGTCTTATCTATCACTTAAGAAGAATTTCGTTTCTCGTGCGTCCGACAACATTTGACATTACATTTACTTACACACACACACATATATATATATATATATATATATATATATATATACATGTTTACATATACATAAACGCAATGACGGTAATTATACCGACAGTAATATTAACAACATAAGGGACGAGTATCTGAAAGGTAAACGTAATAAACTGACTAGTAATTGCGATAATAATAACTAGAAGCAGCCCATTTTTGATAGATATAAATCCACAAGCGAGTTAAAAGGTTTCTAGGTCGATGGCTATAAGATGCGCGCCGTCTGTAAGGAATAGGGCTGAGAATAATGTTACGTAGCAACGTATTTTGACGTCGTGCGAGCGTTTGATGGCGAAAGATCTGCGTTTCGTGAGTGACATGTGAGGTAGATTATGATGAAGGGACAGTTTCTCATCGCTGTTTTAGAACTCGCTCTTTCGATCACTACTATTACTACTGCTAGTACTGTTAATTAGAGTCAAATAGATTTATGTAGATACCTTTGAAATTTAAGTTAACTGATCGTTGACCAAATGAAGTGAAAAACAAGCAAAAATCTGACGATTTCTTGGTGCACAACATTAAAAGGCGGATCCCAATTACTATGTATGGGTCACTATCGTTTGGCTTTATTTTCTATGATAATGATTCTAATACTTGCCGACAGGCTCATTATAATTAATCAAAAAAAAAAAAACGACACCATTTGTCCAATACAAGATCAGACTGTATCTGGTTCTAATACATGATTTTGATGGCTGATAGTCACTCTTGTTATAGATGTGTATCAGGCTAGAAGTATAGGGTGGAAATATATATTACATATAGTGCGAGACTGCTTCTTCACATTGATTGAGTTAAGGTATGTTGAATTTTTTTTGTTCTTAAATTACCGAAATCGCAGATTCTGCAATTGGTTGCGCTTACCAAATCTACCACTCAACTCATCGAGGTGAAAACAGCAGAACTTATAAAAATTCGTAATTCTTCGCGGACCTAGCTCTATGTACAGACGTATGAAGGGAAGTATATAACTATCTGACCTGTGTAGTTCATCTGTCTTTTTGGTCATAGCAGATTGGCGAAAGCCTCTACGAAAACAACAGTTCCTCTAATGTTCGTATAGTACCTAACTCCGTTTCGTACTTGACGTTACATTATTCACTTCACCGCTATTACAACTATTTAGTAGAACTCTATAGTACAGACGCATCTTCTTGATAAAAAAAACTATAGACACTTTCAAGTCTCCATCATCCGGCCGGCCGGCCGGTCGTCCATCATGAGCAGTGGCAACTGCCAGCAGTTGCACTGCTCCCTGCAGGGAAAACACAACAATGACGAACCAAATGAAACGGCAGGCGAACAGTCGATTGTGTGCAAAAGCCGCAACAACATCCACCTATACAATTAAACAGCGTTCGATTGGAGACGGAGAAGAAGGTAAAACTGTAATGTAATCATGTGCCATGCTAGTTAACTTTGGCCGCCTTGCACGTACAGGTCGTTCGGGCGATCAGTGACGAGGCCATCGACTTTTGGGGTCAAAAGCCACGCCCCACGTGTGCACGTCTTTAAAGGACCCGTCGGATCCGGTGTCCTGTTGCTCAATATGAGGGTGACCTTTAGTGAAATAAGAATAGAGCGCGAGCTGAGCGGTAATGAACCTAAGTGAGGACACGGAAGATAAAAACAATGCAGTGGAACATGAAACAAAAAGGAAATCGGTGCTTTTCACCCGTCACTAACGTGTCACTATTACTTTCCTGCCGATTTATAGGTGATAGACTTCTTCGATCTTTTTGATCAAATTTGCGCTTTTTATTGGAACACAACGATTTCTCTTTCTTTGTTTGTGTTTCAAACCGTTATAACGAAGAGCTCAGCCAAAGTCCCTAACTTAGATAAAAGTAAAAACCTATGCTTGCTTTTAATGTTAATCTACTGTTGGGTGATTTGGTGCTGCAAATTTGTCCTTTCTATCTGTGTTACCCTACGTCAACTGACAGTGACAGGAAAAAAGTTGGCATTTTTTTTGACGATTTATAAGGTAATAATAGAGCTATTAATAGCAACAACAACGCAAAAATAAACATGGCTCTATCGTCGGCACAATGTAAGGGTGGACAGGAAATAAAAATTCAACAACAATCCAGAGAAGTAAAACCAAAAAGAAAGAAGAATCAGGTCGCCGCTGATTTATCATGCTTTGATTATTTGTTTACCGAAATTTCACCGATTATTTATTTATTGGTGAGTTAAGATTAATGCCAACTACAAGATCTAACCTTCCACACGTAGACACTAAAATAAGATAAATTTTACTTCGAAAATGAGTTAAGTTGTGTTCCTCATTGTGACAACTGAGCAGGAATTTGATGAAAAGAGGAAGCTACATTTGATTTTGCCGATGATATGTTAGCGAGCGTACCATTTGCCCAAAATGACATCTCTATCTCAGCGTTACGTACGGCAAGGCCACGTGCTGTCTGAGATGATGTACGAACCAATGATGGTTCCCCTAATAGAACCTATAGACAGACTGAATGGTTCCACTCCTTCATTATATATATCAAGAAGACCAGATTGACATACGACTAGAGATGGTGTAGGCAAAAAATCATTATTGCATATTATATTTATATCACATCACTTCGGACTCACGGGTGATGATGATTATAATAAATTTAAGCGAATTGAAAGGAACGTAACGAGAAAATGGCGGGAAATCACGGTGGAAGCAACTTACGTGACGTGGTTGATAAAGTGAATAGTGCGGAAGAACCGTTGAAGATTAATATCGATGAAGCACTGCGGATAAATATATCATTGTGCTAATTAATAATAAGAATTATAATATTAATAAATGATGATAAGAATAATACTGATAATAATAATAATAGAGTAAAATAAAGATACCGCGCGCTTGGTATAGATTGATATCTTGTTTATTCAATGTACAACATACATAGCTTTATGTATTCTACACGGGCGGGGGGTGAAGGTAACCGATGGCCTGTGTGTTTCACTTAACAAATCACACGTTGGCCTTTAGATAGAGGTGCCTGTTTGGTGGGGGCTTATACAAGTTGTGTGATTAGATCGGCTTTAGGATACAAACCCAATAAAGAATTCGATTGGACACAGGATAGATAGTTCAATTATATTTTGAGAACTTTGTGCCAAAGGTAAGTATACGTCAAGCGGCACATGTGTGACTATGTAGGTAGGTAGGGAGTGATGTGTTTGGCTAGGGTTTAATTCGTGCTTGATCTTTATGCGTGTCCATTAAAATGGGAAGAAAAAATTCTCAACAATCATCCTTAGATTGTTCTTTTGCCTTGCATGAGAAACGCCTAACAAACCCGGTACAGGTACATTTAGTTACGGGGGAACAGTATTGGAAGGTCATGTCGTTGTATAAATAAAGGTTAGGATAAATGGTTCATATTTTCGATAATATAACCTTTGCTGACCTACTATGATAAACATGACGCTGGTTAGGATGTAATCAAAGATGATCCTAGTTACTGAAATAACATGAATCCAACGAGATGGATCTGTCTTGGTGAACTTGAGGCTCTACGAATGGCGTATGGTCACACATTGTTACAGCTTTATTCAACGTAACCATTGACGTTTTGTATTAAACTTACACCGTCTATAATAATATAATCACCACTCATATTTACAAGATAATCAACAGGAATCATTTCAGTCGAGAACATGCTTGCAGAACTCTTCAATTCTTGCTCTAAATGGAGTTAGTTGCTTTTTCAAGTATAACATTATTCTCATCTATTTATCCCAGAATAAGCGGGTATAACGTTCTCAGACAAACACAATTTTGTCGTATCGCATTAGAACTCCGCCACAAACCATATAACCCTGTATCCTTGCATTCATTAGCAGAATGCTAACTTAGTAAACAAGATGAAGAAACCACCGTTGAGCTCACCCCTTCAGAAGTAAAGATTGTTAGCAAGAAAGTATCGATTAGACGATGCACTTGGTAACTAGCCTTTTCAGTCTCATTATGCGAATAGGTTTCGTCCAGAACATGCCACTTGCCGTGTCACGCTTTTCCCATATTTTTAAACGCTACGTTTACGAGTGACGAGGATGACTGGTCCGCAGACGTCGTTGTGCAAACGCTTCACACAACGGCAGGCAGTTCGTATTATCGATTGCGAGGAAAGTTTGCCCAATTCTATGCTCGCGCTTTTGCCCGGAGCTGGTTCCTCTGGTAAAATCCATAGCAGGTGCCCTCGATTACTTGTACTCGGTACAGGTCAAAGAACGTTTCCTCTGATCCGGCTGGCACGGAAAACACGAACGAAAGCTACGGAAGAACATTCGGTAAAGTTCTATTATTATTATTATTATTATTATTATAACTGAAATAACTATCTGCAACTTCTCCTATGGGACTAAAGGCGCAATAATAGAAGACGAAAATTATAGTACCTTGTGCTGACATAAAAACAGAAGTCGGCTATGGTCGAAGTAAAATCTACTTACTTCAAGTTTTTTGACGATACCAAGTGTGTCGACATCGTAGAAGAACTTTCGAACTCCCTCGTCACTAGGGTCACCGAAATTAGCTTCAGCTTCGTAGTTTTTGCCTCGTACTTGCAACAGCATCTTGCCTGAATTTCATCCATGTAGACAATTTCAGTTAGCTAATGTAGTAATGACGACCATGAATTTTCATTAGTTGCTCAGTCCAATTTACGCCGAGATGCCTTACAAGCAGGCGACTCACGAGGAATGAAAACATGAGCTCATTCACACGCAGCTCGGGATCGGAACTAAGATATTTACTTATTGGAACATCCTGAAGGAAATTCAGTTTTACTGTAGATAATAGAAGACCGTGACTATCCATCCTCCAAATCCTAACGCTTCTTCTCAGACCAATCCAGTGTATCGTATAGGTACATCACATTATATAAAGTACATTGTACCATAATCTCTTCTATGTGACGAACCGTAGCGACTTTTACCGAAAGACTACAACGGGTATCCGTAACTGCTCATACTTGTATAAGATAGATACAGTGAGAATTCACTATCTGACCCCTTCACCACCCCACTCTTGTTGACTTACCAAAACTAGATTTTCCATGTTCACCAGGCCCAACGTCGTAATCTACTATAACGCATATCGGGTTTTCAGATGGGAACTGCTTTTGGAAGGTGAGTCGCGCTTGTTGGCCAGATCGCAACACCACTTCGGTATGGCTTCCTGAAGTGCAAATCATGTTCAGATACCACACTGGGCTTTACGATGTCAGGAGATAAAGTCTTTAACTAAAGAAACGCTGTCAAAGTTAAATTCACCATTAACCATTAAGATTAAGAACCGCCATAACTAAAGAGAAAGGACTCTGATTAGAATTCGATAATTGCCAAGATATCCATTTAAGAGATAAGAGCTTTACGTTTTTTATAGAGCTTTTTATTGTATAAGTATAGGTAAAATGGGTCTACGAAGTAAGGCAAAGCTTTTCAGTGGCTAATTATGTATGCCACCCCGGACCGTTAAAAATAGATGCAAAAATTTTACTCGACCGGCGAATCTAGTTAAGGTCCCCGTCTACAGATGTGGAGCATCGTACCAATTGCGAAAGGCGCATTCATTACGAAAGGGCCGTTTGTCGTGATGTCGCAGTCGCTTGATCCGCGCGAAAATGTATGAAAATTACAATCCAGTAGGAGAGAAGTTCCGGCTTCAACGCTAACATCGTCTTCTATCGGGCCGGAGGGACTCGTTGCCTCTGGAAACGAAGATCACGTCCAAGAGATGATTTTATGCTTCATTTATTTTTATATGGAGGACCTAGGCAATATAGTAGTATTTTTGTAGTAGGACCATTATTTTTCACCTTAACGCTAATATGCCAAGTGATCGAGATATCACGAAAGAATGCAGATACCCTAGCAGCCCACGACTCGTTATATATTCAAGTAACATATAGGGCACGATGATGCCGTTAGCTTCTGAAGTAATAATATAGGCCGATAAATAATAATAAGCGTGTAGGTAAGATCTAGATTTTACTGACCATCTCAAAACTAGTTCCGACTTTGAAAATAAGTCAGTTCAAAGAAAAGAAAAAATAATTGACAGAGTGAATAAAGGGAACTGTGTAAGGGTTAAAAAGGTGTAGTATACGCGTGCTTATGAAAGAATGTATTTGCCCTAAATACTTTGAAAGCGAACGACACAAGTTCTATAAGCATCGTAGACAATTTCCCTTATAAGGAATTCCATATCGTCTCGGAACCTTTTCTATCACCTTCTGCTTAAACTAATGAAACCTTAAATTTTAGTGTGCCCGAGCTGCCTATATCAGTATAACAACGGAAAATATAAACAAACTTTTTGCCTTCCATCTAGTGCCAAGATAGCGGGACGCATCATAGGACCAGAAACGCGCATATTACAAAATTTGAGTGGAGAATCTTTCTAAAAAATGGAAAAAGATCTACAAAACATCTGTGGGCTCTGCCTATTCATGTATTGTTAGGTATCATAAGATGCCATTTAAGGTTATATAAAGAAAGGAACAGCGTCATTTAGTTCCATGGAAATAAACCTTTTACCGTATTTTCTAATCTTACAGATCGCAGGGAGTCCTGGTGATGTAGTAAAAGTTACACAGACATCCTGCATTATTCCGTAAGATTAGTGATGGGTGGAGTATAGCTTCACGTGCCTTATATAGTATTTCGCAGCTATTAAACAGACTGTCTAAAATATGCCTCAGAACGCATTTCTGCATCGTATTAATGAAATAACAGGATTTATTGAGAGAAAGCATTAAGTGGCCTAGTACGAACTTACATTCCCTTAATTTGTTTTACGTTAATCTCACGTAGTACGCTATTGACAAAGATGTTCAGTAGGAAAATGCACGTCTGCTTGAGTGAACATCAGTCCTAATCATAGCTTCATTAACTTCATGAGGAATTGTATCTATTGCAATAACGATCGATAAGATCAACACGACAATCGTTAGGGAATATATATATATATATATATATGGGATTTTAAAGCTGAGTAAAAAGTAGGTTCGTTTCTATTAATTATATTGGACATTTGATTTACAGAATCAGATCGTTCCGTGTGTGCGAAATCTTTACTACCAATTGAAAGCATTCGATCCGTCTCTCATCTGGAAGGTATCTTTTGTCCCTATGGTAGAAACGTAAATAGATCGTATCAAGTGGGTTTATAGGACAACGATATCAGGCATGTTGATATGGGGCCTTGTTCGTAAACTTATCTCAAACCTGTTTTCTTAGGTCGAAGGTTGACTACGCCAAGTCAATTTGCTATAGCAGTATCTATTCGAGTACCCGTAGTGAATCGACATAGTAACCATCGTAGCATCCTTATCACCAGGATTAATATAGTATAGGCAAGCTCGGAACTACATAATACGTGCTACTAATAGAGCAGAACTCGGATATTCTGTTTTCTTTGTTATTTCCGATTAGCCAGATTGCCTCTGTGCTACAGGTATCTAAAGACAAGTTTCATGGCTTTTGGCTTTGCACCGACAGCTTTCTGCAGCGTGAAGGTAATGGTCATCGTAGACGTTCTCTATTGGATGCGGAGTGGTAGTCTATCGCAACGTATTGAGTGTGACGATTATTGAAAACTGTTTTTATGATAAGCGCACGTAGTATGTGAGATATGGATTCCTTATGTTAACATCACCGCGCAGAAACAGATGGACAATTTACGGTGTGCGACCCTGAGTGAGGCATAAATAAATAATTGTATGTGTTAGTAAAACACTGGATCTCTTTTCATTTCTATCACGACAAAAGGGTTTGTCCTTTAATGCAGGCCGCTAACATGTCGCAGTGTCCCGATAATTTCACGCTTCCGATTGGAGATATTTGTAACTGTAAAAAGTGGTGAGATCACGATCCGCATTAGTTGACATGTTACTTAATAAGCTGACTAAAATACCTCATAGAGGTGGAAGATACATTATTATTGTGTCGGTGGCTTATGGTGGCTTCGTTCAGCTTGAATAAAAATTATCAAGCTATAGTATCACACTTGAGTAATTCATTTTTGCGATAGGCCCCCACTTTTTTGTTTTGGATTAGCTGGTTTAATGTGGCCTGATGGTACAGTATTAACCGCAGCTAGCCAGACAGTATACTGTATTATTAGCAGTCCAGATCGGTTATTTTTTGCTTGCCAAATATTATCTAGATTACGTCGAAGATACCAGAAGATTAGCACAACTTACCACAGAGTCCATAAAACTCATTCTTCATACATTTCGTACCTCGCGGACATTGCGAACAAGGAGCGCCCAGCTTATACATGTCTTCTCCTAGAGTGTTCCCTCTGTAAAGCAGAAACCATAACGACATCTTCTTGATGTTGCTAATCTTTTTTTTCGCACTCATTAATCTCGATGATGCAATTAGTAAAGGTATTTTTTAAGTTTTCAAATTTAGAATATGTAATAGTGGTAACGCCTGTATAAAAAAAAAGGTGCATTCCGTGAGGGAAGTACCAACGTTTCGTCTTCGACAGCAGTCAACACATGAGGAAAGTGTATAATTCTTTTTCTTGTATGTATTAGCCTGTACTGCATAATCTGTACTTAACCCAGTGACTAAAGTTGCGCTCTATATGGCCATGGATGTGTAGTTTTTTTTTATTAGGAAAGGGGAACGGATGACTTCCCTATTGCGGTGGTTATATTTACCAGCCCATACCAGGCCTCTGCAAGGCATTGTATCGCACCTTATTTATACTATGTTCTACTAACGTATGTTACCGTACATTGCATTGTACAATAACAGGTATCTGTTTTTCTGCGAGGAAATGGCGACGGTGGGTAAATTTGTGATTAACGTTCTTTTCGTTAAAATTAACTAGAACTTTATCATCACATAGCAATTAAATTGAAGGCAGTTCTGTCCTTCTGGGTCCATTCGTTTTATTTGCTGCCGTCCACATTGGCGCAGCCGGTAAGTACAATTAACGTTAACCTTTTACTTTAAAGAGGAAATTTCGTTGCATACACAGATATTGTCAACGGAAACCGCCAGGAAGCGGAATAAGTCAAATGAAATGCTAAATAAGGCTCATTAGTAAAGGTCACAGAAGTACTGGCAATCATCGTCCCGAATTGAAATTAGCACAATTTTTTTCATAAGAATACAAAGCTAAGAGCGTCACACAGACTGAATAATTGGGTCCAAGATGGCATCTTGTATACCTATATACTATATATATAATACGTATTGTACACTAGATACTATATAGACATTTATATACATATTCGTATGGAAAATTTTTAATTCCAGTTAATTGGTCTAGATAGATATGAGTAATATATAGTTCGCTTTAGAATTTGCAGATTAACGTATATTTATTTTAAAGATACTCTACTATCTTCAAACTTAACAAAAGTAACAACGAAAATACTGATATTTAGCTGGACGATGTCACTTACGAGGGTCCATAATTACAAGTGTAAAGCAGATCGTATTCGTATGGTGGCTGTTTCGAGGGGTACATCGCGTAACCGCATCCAATCTTCCATGTGCGCGACCATGCCATCTGCAGATTACAGATACATAAACAACTTATTTCAATTTTTTTTTTATAACTAAAATGCAGATTCATCAAGCGCCGGGAAAAATGTGCTTCTCCTCTTCTTTTGTTCACTGATAGCATAACCTCAACTGCACCTGAGCATACAATAATACGGTTTTATAAACAAATATGGAAAAATCTACTATCAGGATCTTGTCTGATAATCAATGCACTACTGATATAAACAGCATGAACGAACAAACTGTTCGAAGTAAAACGTTCCGAGTTTTCGATGATGAATTGTTTTATGAGACAAAAATATAAACAACGTACTATAGAGCCAGCGATAAATAGCGCGCGTTATTTTTTTTTTTTTTATTATTGAACCAAAGTCGTTAGCCGGAAAAACCATAAAGTTGTCCCTTATAGCATATGCTTGCCTGAGTGAAGTGACCGGTGTCATGAATAAAGTGGTACGGGTGGATATCTGATGGCCGAACAAGGAGTGCCTCATCGAACCATTGCTTAATACATGCCGTCCAATTTGCCTGTGGATTTGGGGCATTTGTTTGGTCCAGGCAGAGGTTTTGGCCGACTGATGAAAATTTGGCTAAAAGCAGAAAATTCAAAAAATGAAACAGTAGTACGACCTTACCATTTTATGTACTTGTGTCCACTGTCCTTCAAATTAGCCTACTGAAATCTCTTTAACGGCTCATAAAATCGCATAATCCATCGTGCACTTTTAACCTAAATGCACTTCGTTTTCTACGCGTTTATCCGCAGACGCGTCTGATAGACTGATCGTCATGCATCATGCTATTTGTGATGCGGCTGAAAATGTAAATCATCTTCAAATTAATTTATTAGATTATCTGTTGAATATACGGTTGCTGACTCGGTGTTTTCAGCTGAAGCTTAATTTTCCAGAATCAAATTAAATTCTATAATGAGCGGCAGTTACAAGACGAACCTATTCTTCTGCACGAAGAACAGTCATGGTCAAAACTGCAAAGATCTGCATGTGCTTGTGCCGTAGCTGCCAGGTCATCGTCCCATTCGAGTAGGAGCATGTCACTCGCTTGCTGCAATTGCGAATAATGAGTTGATCCGGTAGCCACCTGGGCACGATATCGGTTATGTGCGTAAAGGATCTCCTGTTCCTCGCCATTCTTCAGGCCCCTTTCCACAGTGTGACATGTCGTCGACCGACAAAGGGTATGTTTCGAATTGTACCTTAAACGCGAAAAAAAATAAGGAATATATTTAATAAATTGCTCTGCTCTCGTCGTAAGCTCTAGGCTGAATCGCCCGAACCCTAATTTGGCCTAATAAAGAAGAGCGATTCAATTCTGGCTCTTATCACATGTTAAGCCGTTCTGCAATTGCAAATTTATCAGGCATCTATGGGTAAATAATGGTTGTTCATAGATATGAAGCACATTGTCATAGATACGCAGCATCACTTGAGAATTACGTACGACTTCGACCCACTTCCGAGGTCCACTGGGCACTAGCCACTGGGCATTCGTCTAAGTTAGTTTAATACAGATAAACCTAAACAGCTCATTGTTTTATTCACTTAATCGCATTCATTAAAGTCCACGCACCGTTTCTCAGGACAGAAATCAGCGCGCGACGTGACAGCAAAGTCCGTCGAGGTCTTTAAAGGGCCTTGACGTGCTGGCGATGACGTGGCGGTTACAGCCTGTGTCGGCAGCAGTGTTGTCGTAAGCGGCCTTTCTGTCGTCGTTAATCTCGAAGTAGTTAAGGGCCGGGACACTGTAGTAAAGGCTATACTGGGCATTAGCGTTGACGGTATGGTCTTCATAGGGAATCGCGTCGAGCTGGGTTTTGCAGTGGTTGTGATGGGTACCTGGAACGTTGTTTGCGGCCGAGAGGTAGTTGTCAACGTTTGTGGAAACGTGAGAAAAGTGAATGTTGTTGGGCGGAATGTCCTTATGGTGGTGGGATTAGTTGGTCGTTGTGTCGTTGTGATGACAGAAATCTTGAAAATGCTCGGCGTAGGTGATCGAGTAATAAGTGTAGGGGCTCGCGTTGGCAAGGACGGCCTACTCGTGGTAGGGCTCGTCTTCGTTTGGCCGGATGCTATCCAGTTTGATGTTGGGAACGAGGAAAAAGTCGGGAAGGCTGGCGTTCGGGAAACTGCGCTAACATCAGGGAATACTGTTCCCAGGAACGTCGTGCCCGTGTTGGTTGTCGGTGGCTGTGTATTGCGACCGGTCGAAAAGTAATTTGTCGTCGTGTCCGGTTTCCATGTAGTCGCTGGTGTAGTGCTGCTTATAGTTGTTGGTCGGCGTGTCGTCGTCACTGGACGCGCTGTTGTTGGCGCGAAGGTTCGCCCGTCACCAAATACATCCGCGACGGTTGATGTCGACGGGGGCAGTGACGGGGTGGGGAACCTTGAACTTGGTTGTGTTAGTTTTCTGGTCCGTTCCGGAGTCTTGGTAACGGGCCGGGCATCGATGCCATTGAACCGAAGCGCTGGGTCGAACAACGACAAGCTGAAAGCACAAGACGGCCAAACGAAGCCGGCAGCTGGGTTAGCCGAAGAACGACTCGATCCGACATGTTATATATATAGCCCCGAGTAGCGGAAGAACTATTGCGAAAACAATTGGACAAGGCAATATCAGGGAACGCTAATGGACCATCACTGTGATTTTCACTCGGGTATAATCAAAGTACTACTGTAGAGTACATAAAGAAGGTAAGCGCGGACGATACAGTTGAAAACTTTAATGTGTGATTACGGTGCCGTAATTTAAGACTCCAGACTGTACCAGATAATACAAATTACGTATTAGATGGGTATTTACGTATGGATTGCTGGATCGGATATGATCAACTTCTTCGTTGGAAATTTTTCTTTGAGGGTAAGCTTCGCTGCATAGGATAGGACTGAATGATCGAAATATTTCAGCTAGCTCTATGCGTTTCAAATATAAAATAAGTTTAAAAGGAGTTCAGGGTTGTAATATGGGTTGCTTATCTTTTGTATGATCTTACTAGAAATCGAGACATTTACCGATTTCAGTAAATCGTATGCTTTAGGTTGAGGCCTAGAATTGTTTACATGCATTATTCTCCTCTGTTTTGCCATGGTAATGCCATGCTAGCTAGATGAATATTGCAAATAACCAATTGCCCAAATACTGCTTTTTTAATATTTGGTTAAAAAATTATCACTTCTAGATTTGATTAATTTTAATATTAAATTATTAAAACGGTAAGCTAGAAGTAATAACAGAGTCTTCGTGGGAGCTATCCATTGGCAGACAGGGTTACGACCGCAAGATTAAGCCTTTTGCCCAAAATCTTACAGGTAAGATTGAGAAAGAATCCATAGAAAGGTAGCAATAGAGCTATAGATGCTGAAGGACAAACATCATTATTTAATCGTTTCCTATGCAACACTCTGCCCAGGTTTCTTCTCTCTAGAAAATGGGAATATTCTTCTCAAACTGTTATCTGATCACCACTACATTGATTGGATTAATCCTAAACCATGTGAGCCAAATGTGGGGCTAAGTTCAGATATATCCCATTTATTTCTGCCGAGATCACCACCCACTAATCTTTTTTATATTTCATTTCGAATCGACCCGAATCTTTATTTAATAGTATTATGGGCTAATATAAAAAAGAGTGGTAGATGCTTACGGGGTCAGTTGGCCTGGGTCGTAATTCGTCGGATAATCTTCGACTTGCTAGACGGGCTGTGCGTAGTATAAGTCTTATGATCACATATTAAATTCTATGCTTCTTTTTTTAATATTCTAGTTATTTAGGACAATACCAGCACGTAACTTGCATACTGAATTTACTTACCTAATCTCTATTGTCCTACCTATGTTCCTACCATTGTCTAGGTAGGAACCAAAGATTAAAACAAACCTTTTAAACTAACACTTTCAATACCATATTCGCAATATCAGTGCCGCTGTCTAGACGGTATTAGTGATTTTAGATATCAAAAACAAAATAATCAACTATAAAGTCTAGTATAGAGGTATAGTTCTAGGATATATTTAAACTCAGACGTTTCTCTACTAACTTATTCTGATTAAAAATCCTTTATTCTGACTGTTATAAGGACCGATAGCATACGTATTAGTTCCTAGCAGCTTTGGAAATATTATCGCGATAAGGCACATTACTTATGATGTTATTTGCAGAAGATGCAAAGCCCTTGACAAAATCGAATTGGTCATTGTTGATAATTGATGCGGGATTTCAACTCTAGCAAAAGGTAATGAGTGCAGTACAGTACGGCCATGCTGATCCGAGTCATTCGAGGCGCAGCATTTGCTATATAATGAAGTTGCATCACATTCTAGATAATTATGGTTCATGGCCGCTTGGGGTCTTGTTATTTGGTGGACACAGTATCACTTTACGATATTGTTGTATGCCATTTGATCGTACAGGTGTCAAAGTTCACCGATTTTACAATACCCTGTAGCCTTATTATCCTGTGTTGGGCCGAACGAAGCATAAACAATAGGTAAAGACTTACGTGGGCTTAAAGTTGATCCGATCATCATTTTTATCATCGCTGATATAATCGTCATCGTCCTGCCGGGGGAACTCTTCAAACTCGTCGAGTTGTTGCTGTCGAAGTTTGTCGCGCAGAACCTTAATCACTTCTGGCTTACGGGTCGGCACCGTTTTACGGCTCACTAACGGCGTTGTAAAGTCTGCCCGCATAGTTATGAATGGGGTCGCATGATTAGTTCTAATGTGAAGCGATCAATTAACAATATACAGAAAATGTATATACCTTATTGAGAAATTATTTAGCTTGCTAGCTAATTAGCAATCCAATCCAGTTTTTCCTAAAAAAACTTTCGATAGTATAGATCGATAGATAGATTTTGTTTAAAAAACACACATATTTATCGATGACAAGAACTGCATCAATCAATGGCCATAGTTTAAATTGTAGGTATTATCCGTTTTATTGTTATATTAGTATCCGAATTAGAAATTCAAATCTGGCGCGCTCGATAGCTCGATATTCTATCATGAAGGACGCAGCCGATATTGAAGATGTGTGCCTCCGGCAATGTCATACGAATTTGCTCATTTCGTGCCGCCTGTTATCGTGATTAGAGTTGAAAAACGTTCTTTGAGGACTGCTTCAAATAAGGCCTTACCAATTTAGTTCTGTATATTACGATATATTTGAAAAAATTTTCTAACTGTATAAGAAATTTACATGGTCAAACAGATGGCAATAAGAGAGACTCCATAGCTTCTAAACGTGCGCTTCATGAGGACTTCGCTTCTCACTGGAAGTTTTCATCTCCTAATCGTAACTAATCATAGGCTTATTATGCAATGGCTATTGAAACACCTCTTTTTTCTATTTGTAGTGTAACAAATATTGAACCTACATAAATCCTGTCACATTGTAATGCCGACACAACAAATATTCTACAATATTTGTTTGTGTTTCTCATAAGTAATACAAACGTTTTTTTATTGAGGTGTAAATAATTTTACAATTACAGTTATTCGCTCTAAAGTTGCTCAGAATTGCAAAACAGCCGATCGTTCTTCAGGCTAGTAAGTTACGTGCGCTACTTAAGCGTATCGGCAAATAATTTCATTAGTAAAAAAATAGTCTGCCGATCGAATGGCACAAGCATACAATTTAACCTATATGACTCATTGTAACAAATTGTATTCTTAGGTGGATATGTTTCAACAACTTTTCCTTCTTGTCATTCCGTTAAATCTATAATATTTCTAGTTTATTTGAGACTTTCATCACGTCCACACATACATTTGGGACCAGTGGTCGCTGTGATGAGGAAATGATAACACATTTGAAGGAATAATACGTGACTTAAACGTACGTATACTTCATTTCGTGCCAACAGCAGCCAGCTGTCGGAAGCAACGCTTAGCGCTAGCATAGAACGTAAAACTTCATAACGTTTATTAGCTCTATCAGCTTCACTATGAACATATTAGGTTAAGCTCGATATACTCGCCATGAACTTCAAATTCAATAAAAAAAAAAAAAGAGTAAAATATTACCACGTGCCTACAAGGTCGAGAGCACATACTTCACGACTTCCGTGGTGGTTGACTCCAACGAGACTTCAGAGCTTTGATGTTGTGAGACATCACACCTACCCGAGGATCGGCCCAGAAGTCTCCTACTGATCTTGAAACTACCCTTTTACAGTAGTAAAATAGTAACAAGTCACTGAGATTTTCCTCTCGACTGCGAACCTTAACTTAAGAGCTTAACAATATAATTTTTTTTCGATGTTCTAAGCATTTGTACTGATATTTCATTTTTTTTTTGTCTTTACTATCGTTATATCATTTACGGCATAGCGAAATGTTGCTACACTTTCACCAATAACAATGTGGAATTTAACGTTGTTAATATTAAACGTTTAATATTATCTTGTTATTTGTTGTCCATTCAGCGCTGAATTTTTTTCATGAGAAAATAATAAAATTTTCTTTTTAACGAAAAGAGTCGGTCAAGTCTGCTACTCAGTTCGCATCATTTCTGCTACGTACATGTCAGGCTTCTAGCGGCGCCATTCAGGCTTCAAAACAAGAGAAGCCCCGAATTATCTGTCTGATGCAGCTGCTGAGAGCACACAGAGTACGTTTCCTGTCATTGATTGGATGAACCAGATCCTACCTGTAAAAATATTCCTACCTTGATAGCATATAGGATATCGTAAAGCAATGGACAGCTATGGTCTGCTGTAGTTTCCGTGTTTGTTTTGCACACACATCGGCAAAGCCACAACCGGCCGCCAACGGTAGCACAGTTCGGGGAGTTACGGGGAGAAAAACCACAAATACAGAAAAGGCTACAAAATGACAAAGACGTCACAATACCCTGCGGCCCCATGCCGCTGCGGTGAACGCTTGGACGACAACATCGACGTCAAATGACGCCAATGTCGATCGATGGTGAGTAGACGGGCAGTTGGTGGCATCGTTGCTATTGCAGTAGCGAGAAAAATTCAGTTGAAATAAAACTGTCTTATTCAAGATACGGTAGCGGCATTTTTTTTCAAACTAGCGACGTCTTTTTTTGTCGTTGCTATCGCTTAGACTAAAAATTAGCTGGTTCGCTCGGGCTTCGCGTAGGTGGGTATTGCCTTAACTTTTCATCTGTGTCGCGCGCTTCCCCACCGCTGTTGTTGTTGCTTTTCATTTTTTTTTTCACTGCTCCGTCGCTCTCGTGCCACAACAACGCTGGCGGCATCAGCCAACCAGTTCGGGGCCGGCAAAAATGTGGAGGAGCCGAAATGAGGCGTCTGATGACCAAAGCGGCCTTCCCTGGTAGGTGCGTACGTTCAAACAGCTCGAGGATTACCACGGCCAACCACTACTATTACGACCCCCCTAAACAAACAAGTGACCCCCGCCGGACAGAAATCTGTCCCGGCGTTCGCACACCTAGGGATAGACGCGCATATCATATCATATATGTATAGATGCATGATCGCACGGTGACTAATTCGCTATTTGCTCAATGCTATATCGATTATGACATTGTATTGCACAGGTAACAGAGGTGACGACAGCGTACGACACGCAAGGTAGCTTAGGGACCAGTTTAATAACGGCAGTCACTGAAATTAGCTTTACTTTCGCCCGTTTTACCTGCTCCTTCTTTTTCTATTCCATTCGCTTTTTATAGATTAACATTTGAATATGGCTATGCGTGCACTAGGCTATGTGCGCACCTATGTTTGTATGGTTATTTTTGCTGATAGGCTGTAAACGTTGCCCAAAAGGTTTACCGTAAAAGCGAATAAGCCGACATCCACCTAGCCCTTTATACCTGTTTGGGCGGCGGCGTGCGGGTAGTACCCACACATTGCTGACACCCCCTGGGGACCACCCAATACCTAGTAGTTAATGACGTATTGCCATGATGACGGTGTGGAGAAAACACACAGGGACAACAATAACATAACGATAGGAAAAAAATGATAGAATCAAATGTTAACTCGAGTCAAACGTATGCACAGAGATCTCGAAACATATTTATCAAAGAAAAGATGCCACCATTCATCATGCATACAATTCAGATGAGTACAGGTATCGCTTGATCATGGTCTGACATCGTTATATCCATTTTTCAAGTTCGGAACTACAATATTAACTACATACCATCAAGTGAGGCCGTTTAATTGGTCGGAACAGTGACACTTCATAATTATGAACGCAGAACCAGTCCTAGCGTTCTGTTTACATTTATATCGGTCAGTATCAATTGTTAAAGGACGGAGAAGGTTAACCGGAGGGCCATTAAGATCGCATTAAGAGATCGCATTAAGAATTCCATCATCTCTGTCAGTTCATTTTTGTTTATATAGGTAATAAGGCTCAAAAATCGGGAAAAGTATAGGTGGATGAGCGGGCGGAGACGGTTAGATTGGCGGATTTTTTGCCTACGATCGCCACCAACAAGGTCACCGGCTAGGTGCGTTTAAGGTGATGAGCGAGATGCTAGAATGTGTGCTTTTTGTATTATATCTTATGTGTATATAGTTGTTTAATTGCGCATATATATGTAATGCTTGCTTTAATTTAGCTCACTTAGCGCATCCGTGTCTATCTAGTAATAAGTTCATCAGTCGTCCATGAACGGGAAGCCCTTACGTTTAGCATTGCAGCCTTCAGAGTAAATAACAAGAATGTTTGTTCGATATGGCCACTGTAACCATAGTCGCTAAAGGTTTTAATTCCATAAGACGTCATTCGGCATTTATATATATTTACCGCGTTTTTGCCGCTCGCGTAGTGGATACAAAATGAAAATCCGTTAACCGTGCCTGTTTACTTTACCTTTTCTATCATGGCAGTAGTAGCGGGAAGATCGTCATTAGTATGTGCCGATAGTCTCAAAAAGTTCTAATACTACCATGTGATAGCAGCTACGTACGTGGTGGCAGGTGGTAACGGATGATAATAGCGCTCAGCACGGGGTTCTATTAGAACTGTATGAAATTTACACTTAGCAAATGTTCACCCATAAAGTCATCAATAGCCTAACACTTTAGCCTCGTACCAAACGTGTCCCCTTCATTTCTCGAAGTTTATATTTGTCTGGCTAAGTCCGTCATTGTGTTTTAACTGTTTCAAAGTGAATCGTAACGCGTTAAAGCAGTTGTTGCTGGTGACGAAGGTTTAAAAACGAGGCAAGCTATTAAATAGCTGCTTGGAGCTTCGTTGACTTTCTCCGATATCTACATTGACAGCGTGTCGGGGCCTCGACACTAAATGAGGAAAATAGACAACAGCACAGATATAGGGAAAATGAATATTGTTATCGCAAAAAGATCTGTCGCTACTGTTTCTGCTGTGGCTGTTTTTCCGTCTCGGAATTGTCCTATACGTTCAGATTTCTTCTATTTCTTCTAGTGAAAAACAGCCAGAAGTGGCCAAAGCACCCAAGAAAATAAGAAAAGTTGTCACATAAACACAACTCGCACAGAATAAGTATTACCTAGCCGACCAACAAACCGGCCAGGCCATCGAGGTCTACGAAGGGCTGACATATCTTAGGCATATGTGTGTCTCTGCATCATATAGCTCAAAAGTCGCTTCGCTCAAACTTTACCCGCCGACAGAAGCACAGACGAATGTAATGTCGTATCCGAACCCGGAGGGATATCAAAAAATCGAGGTCATTTCAGTTCTTATGAAGGGGAACAAAGTGAAACGTCAGCGGAGAGATGGTCTATGAGAAAAGGAAACAGCGGAAAATTGTACCGCTACGCTTCTATCACTTAGAGCATACTCCTTATATATATATATATATATATATATATATATATTAGCGAAGTTTCTTTCGCGCCATTGTAACTGTTCCGCTGTCAGGGTAAATACCCCTGCGACTACCACTTGGTCGATACGGGGCACCTGATATGTTTTGTCATCTGTACCAACCATAGGTCAAAATCGTTCCAGAAATATGGAAAAATGTCGCCCATGGCAGGACGCATTAGTAGCGCCTGCAATCACAGTGCCCACGATGTGGGGCCCTTATGTCGTCCCACTGTTCAATGGCTCGAAAGTTCCAGTTGCCCCAGAAAACTTTGATGCGTGACCAGGAAAAGAAAACCTGGGTAGTTTGGTCGCGCACACTAGCAGGTACCAGAACGCATCTAATTTTAATAAGCTGTAAAAAATACTGTCTATTGCAAGCGCGATAATCATCCTCGATGCAATACATGCAATAGTGGCTAAGGTTATAGGAGTGACGATCCACTGACATAGTAGGTGAGATCCGTCAAAACCCTACATAGGTTAAAGGGCGGATAGCACTAGTTTCTTTGATTTCGTTTTCTAGATACAATAAGATACCCAACATATGTGAAGATCGATTGTCTGATCGCCTAACGTCACGAAAAGACGCGCGTCCAGTCGTCGTTTACCAAGCACAGATCCTTTTGTTCAGTGTATAATACCAAAAGAAAGGGCGAGCAAATGGCGGCGACTATCATTCAGTTGTAACAGAAAATGCAGCGATTGTATTTCGTTGATCAAGTCTGACACACAAATTAGTTTTTTTGTAGAAAAACGTTTTTCTAACTTAAAAGTACTTCGAGCTTCATCATTTACTCGGCTCAATTGCTCAGCTAATCTGCTGCTAATCACCAAATGCAAACAAGCGGCAATCAATATATTTCATATGCAACCATTATGTTCTAAATGTTCCCATGCTGTGCTGGCTCTTCAGCAGCGCGGTTTATGCACAAGCCACATGAATGGCTATTTTGATTGGCTTCTGACAATCTTGCTAAGTCCTATTTTAGTTGTTGTTCGGTGAACTAGGCAAATGTATAGGCACGTATGCTAAATAGACTAAAGATGCTTTTACAGCGTGGAAGCTCGTAAAAAGCCATTTACCCACAGAGATCGACCAGCGAACGAAAATGGCACGATTCTTGACTCGTAAATATATTACAAGCAAATTAGAGTGAGCAACTTTGATACACATTTGATATACCTGTCATAGTAGGCGGTGACCGCAATAGAACATCAGTCTCAATAGAAAGATTGCAGGTCAACAATGAGCCGACAAATAAAGCAGTTAGTAATTTCATTAGGTGGAAGAAGACATGGCGACTACAGGACGATTATAGAAACAAAGCTCAAAATGCCATAGATCACTGCATTAAATATATCTATTTTGTATACGATGTTAATGTCGGTGCACCTAGAGCTGCGCTAAACAAAACTGCCTTAAATTTGTTAGTTAGGTGAGAAAAAAACAATCGTATATATAGGGGGGCACATGCTAACGTTACATCTCAGCGTCGTCGACAATGGTTTGTCCACAATGGCCCGCGTCCTGTACCCCAAAGTGGTCATACTCTTGTCTAGTGATCGGCTGATTAATGGTCGCCGTGCCTTTTGTTGTCGCAAAGGAGAGTTACTGAGAAAAATAATTGCAACAGCTTAAAAAAAATCACTTTCCTTACGTGCTCCCTGTTTAATCATAGTATCGGGGTGATCTGCAATATTATTGTGAACCCAACTAACAATACGTTCTTAGCGGGTCAGCTCGGCTTGTTCATGGCTTTTGTCGTTTGACACGATGAGCACACGAGGCGTAATTAGGATCATGGTTCACATGACAGGACTATTGTGACAGAATACCTTGATAAACACGCTGCACTGTCTATATTCCATGTATATTAGAACGAATACATAAATCAGACATCATTCTATAGATAATGATACTGCAAAGCTAATACTGGCAATAATGGAAAACAATTTCCTGGCTACAACTAGGACGTCCGTTGTATGTCGAATGGTTCGTTGAACTTGATGGGCAATACACGTATATTTATAAAGAAAATAATTACTAGTTTGAACTAAAGACCCATTTCCCTGCCCATGCCTCGATCCAGGGAGGTCAGCCGCCTGCTATGCCTACATGAATCTATACATATAATGTGCGTGCTACATAGACTCGTACAGGCCATGTAAGCCTTTGACACCTACAGATATTTAGCTACTTAGAAGTGAATTTGGTAGTCACTTAAATAAACTACCATTGTTCATTGGCCTTGATGCAAGCGAAGACCGATTGGGCTGTCGATGAGCAAATTGAACACGTACAAGAGGGTGATGCTGAATCGCGTCCAGTCAACCTATAGGACGCCTGTAGATAGTTGTTGTCCTAAGAAATGCTAATAGCATGTGTCATTGTATCCTAACACTGTTCATGTGACTCTATATGGTGATGAACATTATGACTCAATCGTCATGCAACTATTTCATTTCTACGGAACCATCAGCCTATCATATCTGTAATTGTATTAATAGCTAACGAAATTGGTATGAATTTATGGAATAGGCACACTATGTACGAAGTCTAACCTAGCGGATGTATAGGAGTATTCATCAAGAAATAAGGGTGTGTTTTAGAAGGGAATCACTCGTTGCATAAGCAAGTCATTTCACATAAAACAGACAATCCATCTGTAGCAAAGTAATAATTCTTTTCTAATGAGAAGTGTTATTATTGTTGTTACTATTACCACAACGAAATACCTGCCGTGTTCACGCTGCGCGCTAGCTACCGTTTAGCAACTAAAAACATACTTCGACACATTTAAAGCTGTACATATACATACAATAATCTATTATCTGTACTTACGCTCAACGTCGTCGCGAGCCCCCTCAAAGCGAAGCTCTGGCCGACCCTTGTCGCCTCCATCTTCTTTTCTGCGAACTTGTACGTTGGCTCCTCCCAGCTGGCCCCTATTGCTGTTTCTTGCTTTCGATTTGAAGCGTCCTTCGCTCTTGAAGCTTCGATCATCGCGATTCTGGACGATAGCACCTGTGGAAGGTCTTCGAATGACTGGAATCTGGGTGAACCTTCTTGACGTATCTTTGTCGTTGACTTGATTACGACCAAATTGCTTCTTCGTCGAAGGCACTGACGAGACCGAGCCATTATTCGATGAGAAGAGACTGCTATCTTGGAAACGACGTCTAGATGGCTTACGGGTTCTATCAGGTCGAGTAAACCGTGGAGATTTTTTCGAGGTTATTTCTGTTGGTTGACGGGTGAATCCGCTTAATAGCTGAGATGTGAAATCGGTCAATGGCGTTCGAACGACCGGAGATGATGGTTTGATTGTAGTTGTACCAGGCAATGGGGTTGTGGTCGTCTTATTTGTTCCGAGAAGAGCCGTTGTGCTGGATTCATCAAGGTACGTGGTGCCGAAATCAACAAAGTAACTCGCTCCTCCTGGGAGTCGCACCATAATTCCGGATTTGCCTTTCGGGAATTTAAAGGGCTTCGATTTTTCGTTAATCTCTTCGAATATGTTCTGCACTTCAGATCTTTGCGGCACTGACCTTGGAAGAGGGGGTTTCTTAGTCGAATTGACTGGGGGTGTTGCCGGGGTAGCGAAATCTTTGCTTCGACTCACTTCTTTTGAGGGTGGGCTGTCGGTACTACGAGTCGTGTAATTTGCTTGGTTCGTTTGCGACAGCTGCGGAGAGGCTGGCAACTTTTTGCCTGCGGATTCCAAAAATACTGCAGGAATTTCTATTCCTGACGCGCCTAATGTTGAAACGGGGCTGAATGTTGAGTTAACTGTTGTTTTTGAAACCGATTGATTACGAGCAGCTGGTGCTGGCGGTATAACGACTCCAAATAATTCAGACGGCGGTCGATTCGGGGAAAGCTGTTCGCTTGGATGCGTGAGATTAAAGGTAAACGTAGGCTCTTTTGCCCCTGGGCCCTTGAAGTAAATGTAACTGTACGGTTGCCCATAGACGGAAATCAGAAGCGACATTGAATGCATGACCAGGAAGCCAATAGACCCCGCTAATAACGCGGGAGCCATAGCTGCAAGAAAAAACAGAAGGAAAAGAAAGGCCACGTTAAACATCGTTTCTAAAACTATTGATTAATGCATACATAGTTTTGACCATATAGAATAAAATTCGTATTTATTGTATCGGAATGCTTTGTTCGTGCAGATGTAGGCATCAGTCAGCATAGACTAATATAGGATTATGCTAAACGTACGTCTAGCAAGCGACGAAAATAGGTCCAATTCATATATGTATAGTATTAATCTGCGAGACAAGATTTGTATAACTTAGAAATTTTAGAACTACTGCACGTCGGATTCAAGTGTGGGTACATAAGTCATCGGATGTACAAAATAAACTCAATAGATTGATTGAAAGTTAGTCGACCGACGACAACGGTGCCATATGCTATACTTATCTGCCCGTCGTATTTCATACTCAGTTCACTTTTTTGACCGCTTTCTTCCGCTTTTTTCTGACCACATAAAAAAATATTCACACATAAAAAAAGGATAATAATAATAATAATAGTAATAGTAGCGTTTTCGACGATCCGTATAAAACTGGGCTTGTATTTAAAAATGGCAACTCATACAAGAAAGAACTGTACTATTAGAGTCACCCTTTGGCTTGAACAACATAACTAAATTTATCTTTTTCCTGTCGAAAAAAACATATTAAAATACAATATTCAAGCACTATTTCTACATCAGCGTGCACACTAGGTGGTCAAAAAGGCTTTTCGCAATTGACAGATGCAGTCATCACTGACTTTAGCTGTCGTTCAGCCACCTACTATTTGGGCGTAACACGCGTGTATAAAGTATGATGCGATGCTTAGTATATCGGATATAGCAGAAGTTTTCTAGACAATCCTTGTTTAGATTTTGTATGAATTTTGCACGAACACATTATAATTCTATTAGAATTATTAGTCGATACTTAATTACAGCTTTTTCAAGTGAACATAACATAAAAGATAATAATAGAAAGAAAATAAGATTCTAATGTAATATTATAGGCATTTGATAACGATAGTGACCCAATTATGGCAGAGTAGACGATTCACAAAAAGGAAGCTTAGAGGTTACGCAGTTGAAAGTTTGATACCAGTTTCAGCAAAGAGCAGCGTGGTCGATGAATGATGTTTGTGTTGGCAGAACGTGATAATTCTGATTTAAATTGATTGTTGTCTGCTGATAGCTGAAATTGTTCAGTAATGTCAAGGTAGCAGAACAAACTGATCTGGCATGGTACAGCGTTTTGCAAGAGATATCAATTTTAAATGTTTATTTAGGTACTGAGTAACCGCCAGTTACTTTGAAGACGAAGTAAACACGTTTCTTGCGGAAGGTATGTGTCATAAAAATTGTATAACAGACTAAATTGCTGGTACGAAAAATATAAATAGGTCTCTGTTTAATAGCAATTTTCAACCAGAGTCCTGTGGCGTGCGTTTACCTTGGCTAATTGGTATGAGCAGCTGAGTCGTTTGAATAGATTTTCGCTTTTTTTTTTGCCCCCTCGGTATGCTGCGTAGAATAGTACGCTATAGATGCATATGATCCAGAGGTAGGATCGTTGCTAAGCTGTACATTAATTTTGACCAGAATCAGACTGATTTTGGTGGACATTGATAATAAAAATATATATCCATTATTTACTGCTTAATACCGTAATGATCTGCAAATCACTAAAATACTCTTTAGTTGAAGGTATTTTTATCGAACCTAACAGACAGCTATTTCAGTCATTTAGAGACATTTTAAGATAGTAATTACCGTTACCCTGATGTGATTCAAAACGTTAGCTACCAACAGTATTAACAAAGACCAGCCAGACCAGAGTGTTCAGGTCACCTCATATAGGTAGAGCTTGATTTCTAAGCCACAATCGTTATATATGTTTATGTATATGCGTCTTTTTTTGAACCTGGCTATTTGTTCAATCCTACCTAAAAACCGTAATATCAGGTTTTGTTTGGCACTTGCTTTTACCAGATCCATACAGTCTATATAAAATATACACACAATATACTATGCGCCGATCTATTGCAAATTAGGTTTACTCACAAAAACTTTTAAATCGTATCTGTTCACAAACAGAAGCAGATGCTATATTATCTTTGTCTGTGACGATATCCTATGCGCATATATAACTACGGATACCCTATGTTATAAAGCATTAGTACGACACCATCGCAACAATCAGTTGAGCCCTAAACATAGAGAATCAAACATTTTCGACAAGCCACTTATTTGCGGTTTTTCTTAGCGACCTATTTCTAGCAAAGGTTAAAGTGGATTGCCAAAAACAAATTGTCTTCAGATCTGTTTGTTATTTTCGCGCGGTCCGATCGACTACCATGTGACTACCATGCGGTACGTTCGAGCATGTGCTGTGTGACTACCACTTCAACTGTATATGCTCGGATGACCTAGCAGACTAGCTTGTCCAATACTATTTCTGTTACTTGTATGCACCGATTATATAATGGTTAATCGCTGCTGATGCGTTGAATAATACCTACACATAGGTAAAATGGATATATGGAACTTGGACAGCCGCAGAATTACATATACACCATGTTATGAAACTGAAATAAATCGTCATAGAAATAGAGGTGAAAAAGAACACAATACAATCCTTCAGCAGTGCTTGTTCAAGGCTTCAAGTACGTGGGAGCTAGCTTGTTTCCTTGGTTGTAACATTGGGGCAAACCGTTTAGTGGGGTCGTTTTTCGATAGGAATCATGTAAATAGTACCACATAAGCCTTTTAGGTTTATTTTCAATGTTGCTTATTATTAGAGCTGGTTAAACATTGATAGAGCCTAGGGTATGCTCGACAATTAACACGGTAAAGTGCAGCTTTGAGAGGACAGAACCAATACTACTTTAGAATCTGTGAAAATATAACTTACAAGGTGAAAAAACAGCATCTTAAGCAGAAATCTTCAAATTTACAACTGCTGTAACCTATCCGAAATACAATCTATTTAACGTTTTCTATTTCTAATATGCGCATAGGATTGTGCGCACTTCCAAGCTTAAAACGACAGTTTTTCCAAGACACGTATCTGATGTTCGTAAGCATGCATAGACAAACCATGAGCCAAATACCACCGCTTTCATTGGTCCAAGCTTTACAACGCCCCGCACTGTACATGTGTGCATTTACGTAATTTTCTTTTTCATTCTTTACATATAAACGTAAATTTATTCCGACGTAACGGTGCTACCATCGATGGGACGACATTCATCATAGCATGATTACAGTCGGCGAACGGCAATACTTAACACTGCTAGAGGACTTGACGGGTCGCTATGATCAGACACAGGCGATGGGCAAGAAGACGAAGAAAATTGAGTGGAAGCCCGAGACACGGTATGATGTCGAATTAACGCCAGAAACGGTGCAGATGACGGAACATAAGAGGCTGGTAAATGGCCTGAGCCACTGCGACAACGGCGGCAGAAACAGTTTCAGCTTCATTCGTTGCCTCCGTAACGTTGCTATCGCTACGATTGTTGGGTCGGTTAGTTTCCCTCCGAAAAAGCTTATCCACATAGACCTCGGTAAGGTCATGATGATCAACGGCAATTAACAGCAATAGTAATAACAATTAACATGGCCTAGCATCGCAGCTGATATTGCTAGCGTTGTCGCTCGCATCAGCGTCGAAATCATCATTATTATCGATACCGCATACAAAAGGACAACTAAAGGTAATAACAGAATCGTACATCGATGTTACTAAAAACGCACAGAAAGAAATGGGTGCGAAATATTTGAATAGATATTATTGATCAACATGTTTAAACGACGTGCTTTATTCAATGAACGACAAGGATCACTGTGTGTGAATGAAAAAGATTAGAGGAGGTAACTGCAAAGATTATCACTGTTATTATGTCCCTATGTGGTCTATGGGACACTGCATGTTTGGAAATCACGAGTGGCTAGATTATGTCTAGCTGTAAAAAGAAATGATCAAATTGGCTAGGAAGACGAGCGATCCAGGTACCGTCTCAGTTGAGTATGTCTATAATTCGCATTTATGTGTGGGATAAGGGCGGAGTGTTGAACGCGCTTGTCTCATTTGAAAAGCCCGCGCAATTCATTTGCTTGTGCGATACTGTTGTTGCACTGGCATGTGAGAGATATATATTTGTATTTGTAGATGTACGTTAGGTATATAGAACGTGCACAAGCACAAGTACATAGCAGCTGCACTACCTTACATGAAGTGCTATTCATGAACGAACAAACGAACGGGCGTCACGAAGCCATGAAAATAATGAGAATAATTTAAAATCTCTTACTAAAATAAACACTAGCTAGCCCCGTTGTAATTTACGAGATTGCTTTACATCATTAGCAGCATTGTTGTAACGGGAGAGAAAAGGGTAGCAATTGGTTCGCAGAAGAACCATAATTCGTTCCTTTCGACGCCAGAGATCCAAAAATAAACTGGACATTTCCGCTATCATTAAAAATGGTTTATATTTCGTATTGTTTATTCACTTAAGTTAATTATAATGCGCACGAAATAGCTTTATTGTCAAAATCCATTTATTGACCTCATTGGCTGTTGAAACGCTTTACAGAAATTTGCGTGCACTCTATAAAGCGAAAATGTAGTGCATTTTAGCCTTTGCATTGAAAATTGATGGTCCCTACAAATCAAGTCGAATCTAAAAATGTATGATATATTTTTATTTTTTGTTATTAGTCTGTGAACATTAAAGTTACATTAGGTGTTCTGTGTTCTCTTACACACAGACAACACATCCTTCAAAGTATATCAAGCTCTAAGGGTTTAATAACGACTGATTTCATCGAACAAATAGATAAACTGTAGCAACCAGATCTAATATAAAATTAATGCGATGAACGCTCCTAGAAATGACAGAGAAATGCAGCTGGCTTGCTTTCAGGACTCCCGTCAGTAATGTAATGCAAAATCATAATATAATAATAACAATTAATAGTTTAGGATACCATGGAAACGGATGGTCCCATTGCACCA